GTTTTATGAATAAATATTGACAATTCTATTATAATACACGATTTTTTTTCATGAGAATCTATTACTAAATCAAGGGTGCGTCTTAAAATTGATAGCGTTTTAAAATCGCGGAATTAGGTAAGTCACACTTATTTATATATATTATAAAACTATTTTGTTATTAATTTGCATCGCTAACCAAGTATCTGAGAATATCAAGCATCTGCGTATTTTCAGTTTATTGTCGTGGGAAAAAGAAAAGATTCAGATTTCATGCAAATTTTGATTCTAATCGACGTTTCATCAAAAATATTTAATGTTTTTTTATCAGATAACCTTGTGGGAGGGACGTAGGACGTATTTTAAAAGTTCTGTACATAGTAAATGGAGAAGGTTATCGCAAATTGTTTGAACAATCAAGCACGAAAGATAAGTTTCCAGCATCCATACGCAACGATAGCTTGAGCTCAATATAAAGCTGTTTACAGAGTCTGGAAAGTTAATATTTTTATTTCACACTGCTGCTTGTTGAAATACAGCTCTCAAAGACTTCCCAAGCAAAATTCCCGATCTACAGAACGAAAGAGTCGTCTCTAATGACTTGTATCCGATAAATTTTAAAAAGATTAACATGAGACAGGTCATTAAGTAGGCCTATATTAACCACGACCACAGAGATTCTTGAATTTCTGTTCTAGCATGGGAGGCAACCAGCAGATGCAACCTGTACGAGTAAAATATTGGATAAAAGAAGATAATAGTAGTCTGAAATGTAAATTTTAAACTGCATAGACCCATGAACGCGATTGAAAAGAGTGCATATACATATCTCGTTGGGTTTTACAGATTGCATTAAAAGATCACATCACTGCCGTTTTCATAACAGCGGCTGTGATCTGGTGGTATAAACTTGAACTACTAATGTTAAAAGCAAATCGTAAAAAATACCCCAGCAAAATTTGGTGTGTTTTTAATAAGTAACCTAAAAATAACACCGTATTTTCTCGATTTTAAAACGCATAAATTTCACATTTTGGAAGTTTTGAAATCGGAGTGCGTCTAACATTTCATGATGTCTAAGAATCGATGTCGACAGATGATATAGACTAAGCGCAAAGCAAATTTTCATGTCTAAAACAGTAGTAACAGCGCAGTAACAACCAAAAAGAATGCAACAAAGAATATGTCGAAGGTATTAACACAAAGACGTTTTATGAATAAATATTGACAATTCTATTATAATACACGATTTTTTTTCATGAGAATCTATTACTAAATCAAGGGTGCGTCTTAAAATTGATAGCGTTTTAAAATCGCGGAATTAGGTAAGTCACACTTATTTATATATATTATAAAACTATTTTGTTATTAATTTGCATCGCTAACCAAGTATCTGAGAATATCAAGCATCTGCGTATTTTCAGTTTATTGTCGTGGGAAAAAGAAAAGATTCAGATTTCATGCAAATTTTGATTCTAATCGACGTTTCATCAAAAATATTTAATGTTTTTTTATCAGATAACCTTGTGGGAGGGACGTAGGACGTATTTTAAAAGTTCTGTACATAGTAAATGGAGAAGGTTATCGCAAATTGTTTGAACAATCAAGCACGAAAGATAAGTTTCCAGCATCCATACGCAACGATAGCTTGAGCTCAATATAAAGCTGTTTACAGAGTCTGGAAAGTTAATATTTTTATTTCACACTGCTGCTTGTTGAAATACAGCTCTCAAAGACTTCCCAAGCAAAATTCCCGATCTACAGAACGAAAGAGTCGTCTCTAATGACTTGTATCCGATAAATTTTAAAAAGATTAACATGAGACAGGTCATTAAGTAGGCCTATATTAACCACGACCACAGAGATTCTTGAATTTCTGTTCTAGCATGGGAGGCAACCAGCAGATGCAACCTGTACGAGTAAAATATTGGATAAAAGAAGATAATAGTAGTCTGAAATGTAAATTTTAAACTCATTTATTTCAATTTTGATAAATATAAATTTTTTTTTTAATAATCACCGACTTTTTACCTATAAATCAAGCACGTTTGTACAAAGTCTGAAAGTGGCACATTTCAAATGCAATAAGTATGCCATTTTGGCTAATGAAACATAGACTAACGATTACAATATTTAAATATCCCAGACTTGGGGCTTAAGAATAAGTGTTATTCGATTTGCTCGCTGTCAGAAACATTATAAACGGTTTTTACATTTTCGATAAACGTTTGGTTTTTGTGACATGTAACATTTTAATTTCCACGCATTCAATGGTATATTATTATATTCTAGTTAAAATAGCACCGTAGAATAAACCGCACGTGAATTACCTACGAACCTCATCATTGTCTGTACCAGTTTAGACGTATTAATCCAGAGTATGGACCTTAGGAGGGAAAAAATTGACTTGAGCATTAGAAATACGGTGTTTAAAATCTGTTGCATGAGAATGTGTGACATTAAGCAAATTAATATTATTAAAGAGTAATTAAGCAGACTAGTAGAATTAAAAATATAGTATAAGTTACACAATGTACTGTATAAAATGAAGGGGCCAGGTTAATAAAAGCAAAGGGCGAAATGGAACTGGACAAAACATAGCTTATATAGTCTCCAAAAGAGCTTTACGTAAGAGGCATCCAATTAAGAAAAAGTTTAAAAATCGAAAAAATAATGAAAAAAATCTAAATTGTAATTTCGATGCAACGAACTAGATTCTTCGTTCAGAAATATCAAGCACTCTGTTCTTAATAATGTTGGTTTTTAAATTGTCAGTGGAAAAGTATTTATTCCTACTTTGTCTGTATTAATTCAAGTGATTTATTTTTTTTCATCAGTTAAACTTGATTTATTGTGAATACTCCAATTGAGAACATATCTCATAATATTCGGTTGTTTGTTACGTCGCTGTTAATTTTACTGTTGTCGAAATATTTTTTTTTATAATATAATTCGTAGTGGCGCATTTACCGTTGATTTGATTGCTATACGTAATTATGAATTCATACAAAGCTTTGTTTGACAGTCAATTAATTTTTGTCGACAGATTATCAACAGTTTTTGATTATATGACGTGATATCCTGCGCCTAGTGTCGGCCTAATCCAAGTATGGAAATGTTCTGTTAATGTATACGCGTCTTAATTTATGTTAAAAATATAAATCAAATTATTTTACTCGTAGAAGACTCATGAATATCAGATATCATCTAACACCGTTATAGATAATGAATATTCAACCCCCTGTTGTGGAGCTGACCCTAAGGTATTTTATGACTTGGAGCCGGTATTCAAAACAGTCGCAATCCCATACAATGTTCAATTAATTTGCGTTGTGTTGTGTGCGAGAGATTAATATGAAAATTAATCGTAGACAGAAAGTCAAGTTGTGATTAGATTCGGTTTATTTAGGACAGGGTGTAATGCCGAGGTTTTGTGAACAAAGTGGCCAATCTTCAGATTTTATAAAATAAGAGAATTTCTTATGCACTTTAATAACTGTAAATTTTCCAAGGAAATTCTGAGTTATAAATTGGCTGCAATGAAATGCTTGAATTTATAAATTTATTACTGGGATACTGGGAACGACCCGTTCTTCAAGTGCATGAGCACTGCGGGTCCCAACTTCTCGTTAGCTTTGATCTATAGACATTCGATAGGACTCCTTGGACGAGGAAATTTAGTACTACGATGTAATATAAAATTGTCGATATTATGAAGTCTGAGATACTGGTAACGTAGTTAATTGAATGATATTAGTGGTTTAAAACTAGTTTAACTTGACAGTTAGCAGAATAAAAGTGACAATAGGTCACACTATTGGACCCAAATTTCTTAGTCGCAAGAAAACGATGAACAGAGAAGCTACTAATTGTTTAATGGTAATTTTGCAAGCTGTAGACAATGAAGAGCTGGGCGTGGGTTGGATTTTGGACACATGGAATGCGTACGAAATTTGGTTTGGTAAGTCTACTAGAAAATTACCACTTGGAAGTTACAGCAGATAGAAAATATTAACATGGACCTTAGATACGTAAGTTCTAAGTAAAACGTAGTTGATAAAACCAGCTAAGAATCGTGCCCAGTGGCTGGTCCACCTTTCGGTCCTACAAATCTCATCTAAGGAATTAAAATCTGTTTCTTACCTCTAAGGAAACACGCCCCATCACCATTACAAATGTATGAACAGAGGCCTCATAATTTTTAAGAAGTTTTATCTTTATACTAAGAATAAAATTAAGCCATAAATTGACTATTTGAGCGAAGGATGAAGAGATGTGGACGGTAAAGCAGGTGTTTTGTACAGGTACCAATGTAATACAAAGTGTTATGAAAAGTAAAGTGTCTCCTGACACTTTAAGTAATTACCACACCTGCGAAAAATGGATGGTGTAAGTGTAGCACCTCGTATTCTTAAACTCGGCACTAGATAGGGGTGTGTAATTAGCTTCACGCCACGAACGCCACGGAAGGAAAACCTGGTGTGCACTTCATAAGAAGTTGTATGAACAAAGAAGCCAATTTGGACAATGTGACGAAAATAAAAATACCGTTCTGTCGGAAATCTAACTTCAGTTTTCTAGCTAGAAACCTAATCACTTTACTGACTAAACTCTACCAGATCCACAGTGGTTAATTATGGGCCAAATATTTTTGGCCGACAGCGGTCTGCGGACCCTCGCTTGGGAGCCACTATCATACACCATCACTATTAATGTCTATGAATAATTTGATTAATTAACATATACGACAAATATTTTCTCCAAAACACTATTTATTTAACAGAAGGGTTTTGCAAATACATGCCCCGTTGTGTTTACCAGAGAGGCTTTACACTTATTGGCTGAAACATTTTATGTTTATGGAATAATTTTTGTTTTGCATGTTACGAAAGTTCTTCAAGAACTGTAGATTCACGTAGCCAGTCAGTCAATGCTTTTAACTGGATTTATGCGCATTCAGAAACCTGGGGAATCTAGACTGGAAAGAAAAATTGGGAGGAGGCTGGGAAAGGAACACGATGCTAAGATTCTGCAGTCTTTATTCAGAATAAATTCAAATACATTACAAATGTATTGTCTGTGTCCACATGTTTCTGGGACGAAATAAAATGTTAATCATTTTAAGGTCCTGTTATTTAAATTATGTATAAAGTCAAAACATTTTATTACAGATATTAATACACCTTGTATCTGAGTAATGAATATATTAAAATAAAATATTTTAGTACATACGTAATTGTACAGAATTTCCCACGGGGAACACTGCAGTTTCATTTACATGAACTCTAGATTGTTTATATTGTTTATAAATACTATAACTGTAATATAAATAAAACTCTTCTGATACTTTTGAGTATAGGAGTATATGGTTATCTTATTATGCTAATTTAAAATTAATAAGAAATGACGTATTTCGTAATTCAATATGGCTTCTAAGGGCCTTAAAAGACTTCAACAATTATTCCTTCGTGTACTGTTGTCTTTCTGTCTGTCATGCTTTATTTGTTGTAAAATAGCGTAACCATTTTTCGTCCTAATAATGCTTTAGTCAGTTCAGATGTCTGTCTGATAAATTTTGTGACTACCTGTCATCGTCAAAGTATAAGAACCATTAAGTTGTTACTTGTACGTCATATATTTATTTCTGTATTAATACTGCTATTAGACAAATAACATTATCTGTGTTTGTTATGGTACATTTCAATTAATTTTGTTTCCATAGTCTTCATGTATTAATAGTCCTGTCATTGAGATGTTCGTAATAATTTCTAATATCACCGTAGGCCTACATATATTCAATAAGTTTGCTATACATTATTTTCGCTTATAATTGAAAGGCTATCTGAAAGTTCCGTGTTTTATGGTGTAAGCATATTTGAGTGTTTCTATGGCTTTTAAGCTGAGATGGTGTGAGATATACTTTTGGTAATGTCATAATGTAGAGAATAGATGATGCAGAGTCCCTGATTTCTTTAGATTAAAGATTCACAGAGGGCAGTAAGTTCGTCACATAAAATACCTACAATTGTGATTTCTAATTTCTCACTACAGCACGGGGGTGACTGCCAGCTTAAATTCTCGTGTTGGCTGTCGGCTATTGTGACAGATTTATCGTGGTATTCCTTGGTCCCTCTAAGGAAATATCGTGATGATCGGCTACGATCACTTCCATAAATGTTATTTATAATTCGTTGTTTACAAATCATTCTATCATTCCCACAAACGTAAAACAGGCAGAATAGGATTAACTATTTGTAGGCATCCGGACAGATAACTACATTTTATACAACCTGTCTTATTACTTAAAAAAATGTATTGGTTTCTTTACAGAGCGTATTTTAAAATAGGGTTTTAATGAACTTTTTCCAAAATACCATTCAGTTGTCTTCTGGGGAATTATTTTGTCAATTTATGTTACCAGTCTAATTTTATGTCAAATAGCAGTCTAGTATTCAGGTCTGTTCATCTGTGTGTCTTTCATATTCGTAATAAAATTGTCATATAGACCACAGCAATGTCCAGTATAAAGCAGCCAGAAATATAGAGTAGTACTTCAGTCAGTGAAAACACTAAAATTATATTTATAAGGCATGCACAAGGTTAGAACCATCGCACTATGGGCACATTTCATGTTGTATGATGTTAAGCTTACATTTAATACATCCTTCAAGTACTGTCATGTGGAATGGTGTACAGTACACGTGATATTTCAGCGCAAATTTTACGAAGACGCACAACCAGGCGTCCGGCGATGTTAGGTTTAGAACGTTCCAGAGGTACTATCATATTCCGGGCTGCTTTTTGCGAAGTCATACCATATATAGTGGTTAGTTAGGGCTGATATAAAGTGTTATATTGTACAGATTCCAAGCGCGCTGAACTCTGTCAGAGCAAAAGTATTAAGATGCGTAATTGGAGCAGTTTATGTTAAATTAATAAGTTGTCCGGCGAATATGTCACGTTCTGTTTGTGGTTGGTGTGGTCTAAGAAGTTATCATACTTAAAAGAGGGTCTTCAGAGAAAGAAATAAAACTGTATGGATCTGTTGTAGAAAAATGTCAGTAGTTTGGGACTGAATGGCGTATAAGGGAAACTTTTTCATGTTATAAATGAGACAGGTCGATTTTAAAACGTTGTCTTCCTCGTGTTACTATAATGTGTGGAATTGTTACTGAAAAGGAAAGTTTTTCTCTCTCCTGATATTTTAAAAATATCTAAAAATAAATTTATATACATAAAAGCTTTGTAATTTGTTGAGACTCGAAAAGTAGAAATTATTAAATAATTAATTATTATCTGTTATTAATATCAGTGTGCTTCGGAACATACAGTGCAGCTGATAGTGATAATATGCAGCTATAAAATAAACGTATTCTGTACCAGTTACTGTAATCGTGAGCAAAAGTAATTGATTAATTTTATTTAATGATTTAATTTTGAGAAGATTAACTTAGATATGAGCTTTATATTCAGATGGGTTGACCATTTGAGACGTTAACAGCTTCAGAAAACATAATTATTTTATTTTCTAAAAACATGAACGTGTAAGTGAATAGAACGGATGTTCAAAATATGTTAAGGAATTTTTTCGATACAGTACATCCCGATATATACCACAGATGCGTCCAGAAGATTGCAGCGTAACGAATAATTTTTTTTGTAAATATATTATTAAAATGGAAGATTACGTTGTTTTGCGGAAGTTCTTAAACGTCACATTTGGCTGTTGTGATCGTATTTCGTTAGGTACTATAAAGTCACACAACATTGTAATATCATAGAAAGGCACATGAACATATAAATATGGCGTTATATGAACAAATTACAATAGCAAAATGAAAATGTTGATATTAGTGCAGAGTGACGAGCGGGGGCGTAAATACGACCTACTCCTAAGAATGAAAGTGGAAAATACATAAAATCGGATAAACAAATTACGCGTAAGTAGGGACATTTTATTTTGAAAAAAAAAATATATATAGTTCTGTATTCGTTTCGAGTGAAATTGTTGTCATACTATTTTCTCGTTTTCTTGATATGTATATACGTAAGATTTATCAGTAAAGTCTGCGTTCTTCTCTTTGTCTTAGTTTTGTTGATTGTACGTGTTTTCATATTTTGTGGATTCAAGTCACTTCGTCAGTTAACGTTTGTGCAGCAGAGATGCATTTTATGTTATTCAGGAAGCGAAACAAATTAAGGGAGCTTCTGTTATTCACACCTGTTATCCTGAAGTATTTATCCAGTAATTATTGTTATATAACTAAAATGAAGGTTACTCATTAACTTTGCAATTATTTTAAAATAAACTTAATTTAATGTTCGACATAAATTATTTACTATGTCTAAGGTTCATAAATTACGTATTGAAGCCTATATGATTTACATGGTTAATTAGAAATCAATGTGTTTGTAATCTTAGTTAATTATTACCACGTCAGAAATACATCGTGCTATTCGCTAGCTCTTTTGAGTCAACGTAGACGCTTGTGGTAATGAGCCGTGACCCACCTCGCTTCCTTGTGTTACATAAGCACTGTAAGCCATTTGTTGAGAGTCTGTCTCTATCTTCAGATCGGCATCACTCTGTATATTGCTATGGTTGATATCTTCCGAGGTCTCGTCTCGGAAAGTAACTCCAGGCTCCAGATTAAAACTCCGGCCATATGACGAGTGTCCATAGCCACCTCCGCCGCCTCCACCGCCTCCACCCCCGCTGTGGCCACCCCCCAAGTGCTCGTGGTGCAGTTCGTGAGAATGCGAGTGTGCGTGGGAGTAAACGGGCTTCTGGACGATCTCGTACGTCACTGCCTGCTTGCCCCCATGGCTCGTGAGAGACTTGAGCCCAATTATGGCAGATAGCATGAGCGACAGCAGACCGGTCATCAGGGCCTTGCCCGCCAGCCCTGCCAGGGCAGCGAACGCAATCGGTAACAACGTGCCCTTCATCATTAGGGCCGCCATGAGCAGCTGACCCATGCCCTTTTTGCCACCCTTCCCACCGCCGCCACCGCCTCCGATGCCGCCGCCGCCACCGCCACGACGACCTGCGAATGAGACAGAGAACACAGGTCAGCCCTTACACTGGCGCGTCTGCGCAGACAGGAGATCTGAAATTCTTATGGCCGTGATCGCGTCGATTGTGGTGTTCTGTTCAGACCACAACAGACAAATTATATTTATGTTATATATTGTTCAGAACGGTTAGAACGCTGGCCTTGTAATCCTGGGGTCTCGGGTTCGATTCCCGGCGGTGCCCGAATTTATAACTTGTGTTGGGCAAGGCCGTGGTCTAGGCAACACGGAGTTTTCCTCCGTGGCATCCCAACAATTACTCCATTCACACACAGAAGAAGGCAATGCCAAACCACTTCTGGATCATCTGCCAAAA